GACCTAGGCTAGGCCTCTGTCAGTTCTGGTCTGCTGACTGATGTGTGAGCGAGCCTTTCTTTTTCTGGCGAACGAAACAACAATTCACCTAGGCCTAGCTGGTACTGCAGAGGCCCGGCTTTCGACCAGCTCAAGGAAGCCGCATTAACAAACACATTTGCATCTTCACTTATAGGAATAGGCCCGGTCTAGGAGAGAATATCACGAAAATGCACCCGGATTTAGCAGGAAATATGCACAGCTCGGAATGTAATGCAATTATCAAGCAGTTTTTACAATGTCATAAAGATCATCCATGGAAAAAATTTATAGGAGCATGCAATTCTATAAACAACCAAATGAATGCATGCCTGAAAGAAGAAAGAAAACAAAATTATCAAAGAAACAAACAGGTAACAAACGAAAAGCGTAGAAGAATGGGACTTGATGTGAAGGTTGAGTAGTTTGCAGAAAGACTGAAAAACCAAACAGAATTGTGAAAGTTGAAACCACAAACAAGCAGTGTTCTCTTGACGTCTGCTGAAATTGTGAAGGAGTTTACTGTAATGGATACTGATCATCTATCATTCACAAACTCTAACTGTATTAATTAGCTCAGGTCCAAACGTGATAGTGGCGTATTGTGAAGCATGAGTAGCGGGACGTGAAAACTTCTAAGGTTTCCACCCCCTTCTATATAAAAAAAAAAAAACACTTTTAAAATCACCTCTGCTTTTTTTCACCACCTCCCTCAATACCCCATAAATACACCATTTACTATGCCAAATCTAGGATTGTTGTAGCTATGAGCACTTTATAGGTTTATATTCCTCCGATGTATATGAGCATCTGGTAGAATGTAAAATGCTGAATTTCACAAGACAGAGGGAGGTGCATTTGTGAAAATGTTTATTCTAAAGGCCAACTCAGACAGCGTAGGCCGTCGCAGCCCGACCTGATTTATCGTCGGGGACAGTCTTAAGCCGTCATGAGAAATATTAAACATGTTTAATATTCTACTACGCGACTGCCCCCGACGCACACCATCGCGTCTGTGTTCAACTCACACAGACCCAACGCAACAACAAATCGCGTCGGGCTGCGTCGTACGACGCTGTCTGAGTTGGCCTTTAGATGCAGGTTTTTTACTAATAAAAAAAAAAAAAGAGAGAAAATTGGTGTTGCTCTTCTTTTTCTCTCAGCTTTGAATATTCTTAAATCTATTCGCCATCCCCAATTATTTCTTAAACCCCCCCCCCCCCCCCCCCCACCTCCTTCAATATCATTTGTACAGCATATCAATCTTTTTTCCTTGGAGGTTGCTCCTGGTTCAACTCGATATGAGCTGTGGGCCAGTGCTGCTTAAGTACTGTATTGAGGTGGATGTGCATTAAACAAATTGATTTTGTAAACATTAAAAAGAATGTTCTAATTAAAAATTATAAATTGTGCAAATCATGTGTCCAAATTATTACTTGTGTAGTTTTAAAAAGCAAAAAAAATATAGAAGTGTATTGATTCGAAAGTATTAAATTGTGTAATTTAAAACATTCTATGTATTGTAATGGTTTGATTTGCATCGCAAGGGCGCTACTCGTCTTGCTTGTATTCTACAGGTGTTCGCTCTTCTTTGTAGAGTTTAAACCACTCAGGAGGGAAGTAACCTAAGCATCTGTTAAACCACAACAGTAGAGAGATTTCGTACGCAAACAAATATGTGTACGCATATGTTTAGCTATCCGTAACAGTTCATAGCCATTCTGTGTTTTTAGCAATCACAGCGCAATTCAAGTGTAGTCTAGGGCCTTAGATTAGGCATACTATACTCTGTTCTCTTTTCTCATGTTTTAAAAAGTTTTATTAGTAAATGTAAGGTTTTGGAAATTTAAAATTGCCAAGAAGTGTTGGTTATTTTGTGATAAGCCCTGTTTATGACCCTGGCCTGACTCAAAATGATGATGTATCCGTCACACTAACTGTACGCGTTCGCGTGCGAAACCTCCCTAGTGTTAACTACATATACATTATAATATATACTAACATTTTAATATGTGAACATGAACAAAACCATCCTAATACAGTATAGAAAAATCTATTAACACAATGAGTAACTAAAAACTTCAAATAATGCACACAGTTTGAAATAAATTTTACTATTCTAATAAAGATGCAATGGGTTCTTGAAAGTGCAGAAGCAAGTCCTTATCTGAGAAGTCTTCTACCAACAAAACCCTGAGTGAGCAGCAGCTCAAACCAGCGCCGATGTTAAGGCTGCAGTTAGCAGTGCCCTGTCTTAGTACTTAGTACTGTCTCCTATTCAAGGTCAAAGTTCAATTTATTGAACCTATCCTATCACCCCACATCATACAAACTTACCCTTTAAAAGCAATCGTTAATTCTATCTGTTGTATTTGAATGAATGTCTTTCTCATCACCTTGCATGAATAATGGAACATGCTTAGATGCTGCAAACAACTGTTCTTGTGTGTCTGGATGGTTATGAAGGGTATGTCAGTGAAGCATCTAGGAAAGTTTCATTATTCATGTAGGGTGACAAGACATTCAAAACTTGAATAGAAAATGTGTTTACCAACTGAGCAGGTTGGGTCTCTATAGTCTTGGTTGCAATTACAGACATAGGAATTAATTCTATCCTCACATGTTCCACCATTCTTACATGGGCTGCTACTACACTCATTGATATCTGAAATGATAAACACCAGCTTAAAAAAAAAAACACTATAAAATCTAATTGCAGTACAGTAGTTACGAATGACTTTCCATATCTGTTATTTTTAATTTTACGTTGTAATATGGGATTGTTTCTATTACTTTTCACAATTTATTAAAAAGATGATGAGTAGGATCAGATAAAATAAAGTTGATTTTAGTTGAGTTGTATAAAATATCTGGATAATCTTGCTCAAGACAAACTACCAAAGACACAAACTAAACAAAAGGTTAAAATACTTGGTAAAATGGACTTATAAAATAGTTGTGAAATGGTTTGATAAATATTAAAAGATTTAAGTTTGCGCAGAAAAAACATACGCTTTTGCAGCCTATTATATGTAATCTTGGTATTTAAGTCAAATTTAAGTTCATCATCAATTTCTACAAAACTGAAAAAAACCCCTGCATTTTGTGAGGGGTAAATTCTATTTTTTTTAAACATTTGATGTTAAGTGCATCAAAGCTCTGGCAATAGTTGTGCCTTGTTGTTAAGATGCTGTCTTCCAATCCCTAAAAATTTTCTCACAAAATAAATTGTAACTAGGTGTTGGCTGATTGAGAGAGGGCGACATTTCATTTTCATAGAGGTTTTTTAAAATTAAAGGAGGTAGAAATCAATAGTTTATCTTCATTAGATGAGACTTTTTGTATACCTTGTTTCGCAAACTTATAAGATCCTCAGAGGAGGGGGATATCATCTTATATCATATATAGTTTTGCCAAAAACATTCAGATGGAGGAAAAAATGCAAATAAAACTATTGGTGAATGTAAACAGTGTAGTAATGGGATGGGTAAATGCTTTAAATTTATATAATTTGATAGAAATATACATAGCTTATTTTTAGAGATTTAGCAGCAAGTGTAATAAATTTCCATTTTTTTCCCGTGGTGGTGGGTGTGCTAATTGGTCAAAAATAAAATTTAATATTTTTATTCGAAATCATCGTTATTGGCAGACGGTGGGTTCGCTAAACAAGGTATAAAAAAAGTCTAATGTAATTAAAACTTTCGAAAAATAAAAATTAATTTTATTATCGTAGAACATTACCGATTTCACAGAATACACCCGTATAGCCAGCACTGCACTCACACAGGAATCTGTCAATCAGGTTGATACAGGCAGCCCCATTAGAGCAAGGAGCACTTGCACACTCATTAATATCCGACACTACAAACATCACAAAACAAAACATATTTATGCAATCGAAGTAAGAGGAATATCTTCACAGAAGTGGTGTCAACTTTTGCTATGAGGGACACCTTAATAGAAGTTTCCCTTTAGCAAAACCATTCAACAATGTTTGAAAATTCTTAATTTAAAATTATTCTCTTTATGCACACAGAGGGTAGTGCGCTTCAATTAAAAGTATTATAAGAAATAATTCATTGTAAAGTTGTACATAAACAGAATAAATACATACCTATTTCACAATTGACACCTGCATATCCAGGTAGACAGGTGCATGAGTAATGATTGATGTGATCAAGGCAGGTGGCACCATTCACACAAGGATTACTGTCGCATTCATGGGTGTCTGAAAAAAACCAGGAATTAATCATTTTAAGTAATTTGTTATAGTTTTTGTATTTATTGACCTTTGTCTGTTATAAAACATGTAAACACCATTACGCTATTACGTTATGTTCTGTCCACATTATCAAATTTTCTTGGACAAAAAAAACTGTTGTATGACCATATATAGTCATGATATGCCCATATATGGTCATAATGTGATGTCATCATGACCATATTTAGGCATGTCACATGTTTTTATCAAATAAAATTTGGTAGTTTGGACAGGGTTTAACACTACAGTTACTGTCTTTGTAGAGCTACAAATCTAGAACAATAAAATTCCATATTTATATTTCTTACTAATGTAATTTAATCTGGTCATTTATATAGTGCCTTTCTTAATACAGATACGAAGCACTGTAAGTTTTTCCCTGGTCATTGGGCCACCTGTTGCTGCCATCTTGGCACAGTAGCAGGCATCCCCACCAGGTACCCATTTATACTCCTGGGTGGGGAGAAGCAATGCAGATAAAGTGCCTTGCTCTTGAAACCCTGACAACGAGGTTGGGAAACCAAAGCGCTTCCTTTGCACATTGACTTTCAATATCACAAAATATAGTGTTAGGTATACAAATAATGTATGTTGATACAGCCATAAACACTATAGTTTTAACTATTATAATGAACTGGAATGAAAACGTATGTGATACACTTGCAGGTGGGATGGTGGGTTGCGGTTTAATAAGAAGGTGCTAAATTCAAAAACAGTAAGACCGATTACTTTTCAAGACATACATGTTCATGCTGTTAAATGATATTTGACCTCTGAGGAGACTTACTAATCTCACACTGTTGACCTTCAAATCCCAGCTGACAGCTACACGAAGTACCGCTAACAATATCATCAATGCATCGACCACCATTTTGACAAAAATCAAAACAAAAATCAATTATCGAGCAGTCAAAACCCTTGAATCCATGGATACATTCGCATTCATATCCTTTCATTACATTTGTACAAACACCATCATTATGGCAGGGGTCAAACAGGCACTCGTCTATGTCTTCATCACAAAGTGTTCCCTGAACTCCAATGGGACATGTGCAAAAGAAACTGTTGATATTATCCAGACATGTGGCTCCATTCAAGCATGGATTACTTGAACATTCATTGATGTTGATTCCACACTGGAAGCCTTCGTATCCAGCTGTACAGTCACATACATACCGATTTTCCAAATTCAAACACACTCCATTTTGACAAGGACTGCTGGCACATTCATTGACATCAATATCACAAAGATCACCCTCAAATCCTTGAGCACATACGCAAATAAACGCATCGGGTATGTCCAAGCAGGATGCACCGTTTAAACACGGCGAACTATTGCATCTGTTCAGCAAAAACTCACAGTTATTACCTTGTGCATAGTCTGGACAGGTGCACTTGTAGCTGTTTACAAAATCAATGCAGATGCCAGAATTCTGGCATGGATTGCTTCTGCACTCATCCACATCCTCCTGACAGTGTGACCCTTGATGGCCCGAGGAACATATACAATTAAACCCGGAATCCAAACTGATACATGTGCCTCCATTTTGACAGACAACATTCAAGCAAAAGTTTGTTTGAACAACAATAATTTGCATTTCACACTCTGTACCACTGAAAGTGTCTGGGCAAGAGCATTCGTATTCATTGATAAGATCATGGCAAATTCCTCCATTCTGACACGGACCACTTAAGCACTCATTGACATCCTCTTGGCATTGTATTCCACTGAATCCTGACAAACAAGCGCAAGTGAATTCTCCAAAGCCATCATTGATACACGGGCTGCCATTCCTACATGGACTGCTACGGCACACATCAAAAAATATTTGGCAGTGTTCTCCAGTGTAGCCGGTGATGCAGTCACAGCTATAGCTGCTAATGAGATCAACACAGAATCCTCCATTTTGACAAGGATCACTACTGCATTCATCAATGTTGATTTCACAGAAGGTGCCAGTGAACCCTACTGGACATGTGCATGTAAACATGTTTACTATATCAACACACAAGCCACCATTCTTGCAAGGACTACTACTGCATTCATCCACTTCAAGTTCACATCTCTCTCCTACATAACCATCCTCACATGAGCAAGCATAACTATTCACGAGATCCACACATGTTGCATTATTCTTACAAAGGTCGATCTCACACTCATTGATGTCAATCTCACATGTTTCTCCTTCAAATCCTGGGGCACACAAACAATTATAATAATTTATTTCATTATGGCATGTTCCATTATTTAGACAGGGTGATGAAAGGCATTCATCTTGCTCCACTTCACAGTCATACCCCTCAAAACCTTCAGGACATATACAAAAATAGTTGTTCACAGCATCTAGGCATGTTCCATTATTCATGCAGGGTGACAAGAGACATTCATCTACCTCCACTTCACAGTCAAAACCCTCAAAACCATCAAGACACACACAGGAATAATTGTTGACAGCATCTAGACATGTTCCATTATTCATGCAGGGTGATAAGAGACATTCATCTATATCCAGTTCACAGTCATACCCCTCGTAACCGTCAAGACACACACAGGAATAGCTGTTGACAGCATCTAGGCATGTTCCATTATTCATGCAGGGTGATAAGAGACATTCATCTATCTCCACTTCACAGTCAAAACCCACATAACCATCAGGACACACACAGGAATAGTTGTTCACAGCATCTAGGCATGTCCCATTATTCATACAGGGTGATGAGAGACACTCATCTATCTCCACTTCACAGTCATACCCCTCGTAACCGTCAAGACACACACAGAAATAGTTGTTCACAACATCTAGGCATGTTCCATTATTCATGCAGGGTGACAAGAGACATTCATCTATCTCCACTTCACAGTCAAAACCCTCATAACCGTCAAGACACACACAGGAATAATTGTTCACAGCATCTAGGCATGTTCCATTATTCATGCAGGGTGATAAGAGACATTCATCTATCTCCACTTCACAGTCAAAACCCTCATAACCATCAAAACACACACAGGAATAGTTGTTTACAGCATCTAGGCATGTTCCATTATTCAAGCAGGGAAAAGGCACACAGTCATCAATATCAACTTCACAATTGACACCTGTAAAACCTTTAATGCAAATGCACTCATATATATTAATGAAGTCAATACATGATGCATTATTCTGACATGGTTGACTTCTACATTCATCTATGTTTACATCACAAGTGGTTCCATTGTACCCTGCCTCACAGATGCACTCAAATCCATTCACGTTATCTACACACGTTGAATTACGTCTACAAGGGCTGCTAGCACATTCATTGATATTCACCTCACAATTCACACCACTGTATCCAGGTGCACATTCACAAGTGTACTGATTGACCTGGTCAAGGCAGACAGCACCATTCATGCAAGGTGCACTTCTACATTCATTAACATCTTCACTGCAAGTGGGGCCTACAAATCCCTCAACACATAGGCACTGATAGGCATTGTGATTATCTAGGCATGTACCATTATTTAGACAGGGATCACTCTCGCACTCATTCACATCAATCTCGCATGACGAACCAATAAATCCTGCAACACAGATGCATTCATAGCTCATCAGACCATCGATGCAATCAGCTCCATTTTGGCATGGTGCGCTCTCACATTCATTAACCTCCATTTCGCAAAAATCACCGCTATACCCTAAACTACACAAGCAATTATAAGCACCAATCAGATCTTCGCATGTTCCATTATTCAGACAGGGATTTCCTGCACACTCATTTATATCCTCTTCACAATTTGTGCCATTGTAGCCAGAACCACATATACAGGTGTAACCATTGACATCATCTATACAGGTGGCCCCATGAAGGCATGGGATACTCTCGCATTCATTAATATTCACTTCACATGCTTCTCCAACAAAACCTTGCAAACATGTACACCAGTATGCATTGATCTCATTGTGACATGTGCCGTTATTCTGACACGGATTACTCTTGCATTCATCTACATCAACATCACAGTCCTGACCGCTGAAACCTGGTAGGCAGACACATGCATATTCGTTTTCTAAATCTGTACATGTTGCATTATTCCTGCAAGGAGCACTCTCGCACTCATCAACATCTATTACTGTTTCACATAAGAATCCGCCAAAGCCATCCAAGCAACTACAACTAAAAGAGTTTTGTAAATCGTGGCACACGCCATCATTCATACACGGTAAACTTTGACATTCATCAATGTTCACTTCACAGTTGCTGCCTTCAAATCCTGGCAAACATAAGCAAGTGTACTCATCACGCATATCAACACACTCCGCGCCGTTCATGCATGGCAAACTGGTGCATTCGTTTATATCAATCTCACACATTGTACCCGTAACACCTGGTAAACATGCACACCCAAATCTATTAAGTAAGTCATTGCATGTTCCATTATTCTGACAGGGGTTACTTTCACACTCGTTGATATCCTGTTCACAATGATTTCCTGAATAGCCTGCAGCACATTTGCAACGGAAGTTATCAATGAGGTCAACACACGTGGCGTTATTCTGACAAAGATCACTTGCACAGTCGTCAAAATCCTGCTCGCAACGGATTCCAACAAACCCCTCCAAACACTCACAAAGGTAGTTGTTTATTCCGTCAATACATGTGGCATTATTGAAGCAAGGATTACTTTCGCATTCATCAATATTGGTTCCGCAGTCTGAACCGATGAAACCCGGCAAGCAATCACAAATAAAATAATTGACACCGTCTCGACATGTTGCGTTGTTTTGACACGGATTTAAATTACATTCGTTATAATCGATCTCACAGTTGGATCCAACAAACCCATCTATACACGTACAATTGTATCCATTGAAAACATCAACACACGTAGCATTATTAAAGCATGGATGACTATCGCATTCATTAACTTCAACATTGCAAACATCCCCTGTCCAGCCTGATGGGCATTCGCAGTGGTAATCATTAATTAGGTCGATGCATTTTGCGTCATTTTCGCAATGTGAATCTATGCAATCATCTATGTTAGTTTCACAATAGTGCCCTACAAAGCCTAGAACACATAAACATTCAAAATGACCAACAGAATTTTGACATGTTGAATTATTCAAGCAAGGATCTTCCAAACACTCATCGATGTCATTCTCGCAAAATTCTCCTGCAAATCCAGAGGCGCAGTTACAATTGTAATGGTCGACATGATCAATACAAACAGCGTTATTGAGGCAGGGAGCACTTTCGCATTCATTGATGTTTATGCTGCAGTTTTTTCCTGTGAACCCTCCACTACAAAGACATTCATAATCATTGGCCTGGTTTATGCATGGAGATTCATTTTTACAAGGATCATCAATGCAAAAAGGAGGTTCCTCACAGTTCTCACCTCGATAATCATCTTTGCAAATGCAATTATAACTTCCAGTCAAATCCTGACATTCACCATTATTTAAACATGGGGAACTTTCACATTCGTTGATATTGATATTGCACATTGGTCCTGTAAAGCCTTCATGACAATCACATGCAAATGCATTAACAATGTCTCTACAGGCTCCATTGCTGCATGGATTGCTCACACATTCATCAATATCTTCATCACAGGTGTCACCTGTAAATCCACCTGTGCAGGTGCAACCAAATGTGCTTCCATCCATGTTGCATATACCTCCATTTTTGCAAGGATTATCCAAGCAGAGGTCAATTATATCACAGTTTAAGCTCAGGAAGCCTTCGGGACATATGCATGAATATGCGTCATTCTCTTCCTCGCATTCTCCGCCATTTTGACACGGATTACTGGCACAACTTCCAAATCCAGGGATCTGAATAATGAAACTTTCGGATGACGAAAAAAGGTCGGGGACAGAGTCATCAGTTAAGACTTGGGATAGTCAGAAGGAAGAAAAGAGGGGATGAAAAAATTAATGTATGTTTTTATAGGTGCAAGTGATGAAGAACATGCATACACAAATACTATACTGAAAGAAATGTTTTTAATTGTAATTAAGAAAATGTAATTAAATTGCACTAAATTCTTCACATAGTACTGTATTGTTTCTATAGCTACAACTTACTTATTAGACAGAAACCACCAAAACTTATAAATCTGTAATTTGCATGCAGGTATATGACAATTTATGAGACAGCTGCTTTAATTGGTCAATGATGTAACCCATGACAACTTACTCGTTCCACAATTTGCTCCTGTGAAACCATCTTGACAGGTACATGTGTAGACACCAGTTAGATCACTGCACACTCCACCATTCTGGCAAGGGCTGCTTGCACACTCATCTATGTCTAAAAATGGTCAAGCATATACAATGTAAAAAAATATACTCTAAATAATATAACAATAAACAATGACAAACCATAAAATCAAGATGAAATTTTTGAACATTATATAGAGATACAGAAGATTCTTATCAAATCTATTCATGAGTTCATACTCTGGGAAACGATGTCGATTTAGTTCTAAAAACTCAACAATACGATCCTTGTGTATAGTGGTAAAAGGATTGGTAGGAGCAGGGTCACGATGTGAACACTCCTTTCTTGACCCCTAGGAATAGGTAACATCAGTAACCTCCTTCTGCATTCAAAACTATTGTATGCTCATACAAAACTATTGTATGCCCATACCAGGGAGGTGTAATATCTCCCTGCCAATACATGGTCATGATGTACCTATATATGGTCATGATGTGATGTCATCATGACCATATTTAGGCATGTCACATGTTTATGTCAAATAAAATTTGATAGTCTGGACAGGGCATAACAGATAAATGAAGATTTTCATTTTGTAATAAAATAATTTACCTATGTCACAGGTAAACCCCTCGAAGCCCGGTAGACATGTACACCTGTAACTATTAATATCATCCACACAGGCTGCTCCATTTTGACAGGGTGTGCTGGCACATTCATCTACGTCTGTATACAAAAAGGCTTTGGTAAATGTATTAGAAAAGACACTGAAGAAAAATATATTTTAATATAAATGTGTGTTTGACTCTACAACCTACATTCATACTGGCAATTTAGTTGACAGGCGATGATAGATTAGTATGAGGTGCTCCTAACACACAAGTAGGCAAAATTTAGCTCACAGACTGCATGCAGCCCAACATCGGTTTTTTGGCAGCCCATGAAAAGAAATTGATATTTCTACCATCCACCCATTCTTGTTACAGCCCGACTTAACATAAAGCAGTATTAAAGCAGTGTATAAAGGTATTTGTAACCATATTGGTAAACATCAAATTTTCATGATGAGTTTGCTTGCGTCTGCAGTGTCAGATCAATAATTCAACTTGGTTCTCCGATGTATTTTTGTGCCCACCCCTGCCCTAACAGCTCATTCCCCTACATTCAGCAATGAATATGTTACTACCTTTACCTTGTGTTATTATTGTATTCATATTTTGACGTACCTGTCTCACAATTATTGCCAATGAACCCAGAAATGCAAATGCAATCATATCCATTGACTAGATCTTGGCAAATACCATTATTTTGACATGGTAAACTATCACATTCATCAATATCTGCAAAATACAAATTGCATTAAAACATTTATTATTCATTAATAATGATACTCATTTATTGGGAAATATAATATGTAGAAAATTCTCCAAGACTTTTGAAAAAAATCAAATTAAATCTGGCTAAATGAAATCCTTATTCAACCAATATATTGTTCAACTATATTTGAATTCAGGAGTAAGAATCTATGGTTATTATTATCCAATAAATTATAAATGATTGTTCCTTTTTGGTGTACAGTTCAGTAAATATCGGTGCTGGTTTGAACGGCACGCCCACCTATGGCTCTGGTGGTGGATCAAGTCTTCTCGGACAAGGACAATAAACTATAGGCCCAGTGTACCCAATGTGGCTCGCGGGCACTTAAAAGAGCCCAGAACATCTTTTGAAACAAGTAGAGGGTTTAGCCACCCAAAATAAAAGATATCCAAAGAATTAAAATAAAAATAAGAATCACATATGTTATGTTTAAATAGTCACTGACCCCAAAAAAGAACTGTCCAATCTATAATAATAAAGCATGGCTGCCCTTTATAAACATGTGACTTTGATTGACGGCAGTGCTCTAGTTTGTGTGAAACTAAATAAAAGAAATTCAAGTTGTAGTAAGATATTAGGTGAGCAAGATTTGCAAAAAAAAGGCACAGAAAGGGTATTTCATAAGAATTTTTCAACTCGGGAAATGATTAACTATTTGCTAACAATGCATTTAATTGATGCTTACTACACTACAGTGCAAGACTGGGTGTTTAGATTTGATAAAAACTCTTCATATGGCTTACATATTTCAAACAGGTACAATAAGATTTTGACTTCAGTCTTACCCCTTTCAACATATAACACAGCATATGAGTTATTTAAGTAGTATCATACAAAAATTGTATATTTAACAGGGTGTGGTGCCAGTGAGGGCCGAGGGCCAGGGCCCAGTGTTGGGCATAGCAGGCCACCATGGAGAAAAACACAACTCATCAGGAAGAAGAAAAAATACCTTTATTTTATTAGACTCTCAAATTGATTAATTAGGCCTATCAAACCCCTAAATTTTCATAATTTCCAGGGACTACACCGCCAGATCGCTACCGACCGCCCCACTTATGCTCTGGTCGGGGAATCAGCCCTCACATTGGCACAATGGACTCCCAGTTGGGCAAAGCATGGCACCACCCCTGATATTTAATAAATACATATGTGGCGGTGACAAGGGGAAGAGTCGGAAGTCGAGTTGGCCGTTTTGAAATATAGGCCAAAACAATGGTAGAGGTCAATATTTTCACAAATCGAGTTTTCAACAGAATCATGTAGTTTAAATATTAAACAATCAAATTCACTCAACAGTTTTTTTTTTACATTTACCTTAAAATGCCCAAAATCATAATTTTTAGAGAGCCGTTATAACCCGGAAGTATGAAAAATTACATTTTGTTTACCCTATAAAACACTCGCAAAATCATCCTTATTAGAATTCATAATTTTACAAGTTAATAACTCCAAACTTGTTTTTCCGACTTATGACTGTTTCCCTTGTCACCACCACATACAATGATTGACATATATACAAGTACTGTACAAGTATCTAAATAGATACCGGTACACAAATGTTATATAATCTTTTAGATTATAAAAGGTATTATTATTATTATTATTATTATTATTATTATTATGAAGGTAGCACCTGTGCTACCAAAAAATTTCATATATTCAGCTCCATGGAAAGGGGCGCACATTTACCACTGCAGATTTATCACGGATTAACAATTTATAGGTGCATGCTGTGACCTACCTATTCCACAATCAGATCCAGAGAAGCCATTGAGACAAAAACAGTAGAAAGAAGGGGAACCGCTGCTTTTATCCACGAAACAAAAGCCCATATTTTTGCACGGTTGACTGAAACAGGGATCTGAAAAGGACATGCTATGTGAAAAAGAACTCAACAAAATCAGGTGACAACATGTTCTCTTGTCTCTTAAACAATTGTTGTCCAACTGCTTGGAATGTAATCAGGTTTTTTTTTTCTGGTACCAGGTACATTGAATTCCAGACACCTTTAACAAAACAGTAATGGTGTCAGTCTGATCTACACTTTTGTATTTGACAAAACACCACTGAATCTTAAAAATAAAAAACAATTGGTGTTTGATTAAATACATTGTATAAGACCCTTTCAAACATGCTCCAGTATGATTTTTGACTTGGCATAGTGTCTGACTAAAAACCATGGTGTCATCCAACTTGTTGTAGACATGCTAATTTGAGAGCATACTAACTATGGTGCTTTGATTGGCTGATTTTAATGATCAAAAATAAACTGAGTGATTTCATTGGTCTATTGTGATTAACTATACTAAAGGAAGTGATTTGATTGGTTTACTACATTATAAATAGAAACTATATGAGGTGCATTGATTGCTATTAGAAGATCAACCATCATATTCAATAAAATCATAATTAATTATCATACTCATAGAAATATTTCAAGGATACAGAATTAAATACAATAAGTTTGATTCTAAAAAAAAAAATGAATTACATTTAAAACTCTCGCAAAACACAAATCAACATTGATGTTGGTGTTTTTTGAAGATACTTACCTAGATAAAACAACTAATTGCCTTTGTCTTTTCAAAAAATACCCCTCTACTAAAATAGATTTTTCTAATAAGGTGATTTTCAACTACTTGAGTGTCATTTTTCTGCTTCGGACACTTTCAATGGGGGGGGGGGACACTTACCTGGCAGATTTCCTGTTAATAGGGTTAAAGGCTGACTCTTGATGCCCTCACTGACAGAGGAAAGACTAAGCTCGTACTCAGAACCTGGGACAATATCCTCAATCAGGACATTCCTAGCGGTAGATGGAGCCGTCACTGATACTGCTTCCGTATTAGCATTTACTTCAGAGTACTTAAGATAGTAGCTATCAACGGATAAGTCATCTGAAGGCAGCCAGAAGACATTGAGGGAAGTCTCTGTAATGCTTTCGAAACTAAGCTCGTGTGGTGGTTCTGGAGCTGTGAATTATTGAAGAAATGTACAGCAAAATTAATGGTGCAGTATTTTTCATAGTTGCTTTATTTCATTTGGTTATTTAGACCAAGAACAAAAATTATGATAGAAGAGAACATAGCAACTCATTTGGCGGGACAGAATTGTGAAACAAATCACTGAGAAGTTCCTCTTCAACGTCAATGATTAACAGGTTAAAAAGCCAAGAAATTAATCATTATAAATATAAAATAAGTAAAATAAAAAAACCTTTTGATAACCATGATGACTATGAAAAAAATTAAAAGCATCAGTCTAGAAACCACAACCATTCAGAGACAAAGATTCATATAAATGAATAATAAAATGCTATAACTTCCTATAAGTTAAAACTACAGTTGAGATCAACTTATAATTAAAATAAAATATTTCCATGGAATAAAAAAAAAGATACTTACAAGAGAAAACCATGTTTAAAAACATAATGTGATAAGAATGTAATAATCATAATCATTATTTACAGTAATTTCCTGGTTTTGTTATGTAAAAAAAATTATAAGATGTATGAATTTAAAGAATATTTTGCTGCCTCTATTTGATTTAGTGGAAACTAACTTGCTGTTAAATTTGAAAAGTGGTTTTTTTCAATTTTAAGGAATGACTCTTCCCTTTTTTCTGTCATGTTTTTATTTTTTTTTCCTCTATTTTATTTAATGTTAAAAAACACTTTTTAATGTTTTAATTGTACTTTCTTTTTGCTTTGAAATATTTGTATGTCATGTCTTTTAAGTATGAATAAAAAAAAAAATAATAAAATGCATAATGGTTATTAAGTAAATCATGGAAGGATAGTCATTAATATAGCATATTGTTCAATGTCTTTATTATTACCTGAATCCACAGTTACAGGCTCACTGAGGACATTATCGGCCACACTGAAAATGCTGAATTCATACCCAACATCTGCTTGTAGATCTTCTAAAGTTACACCGACCTCTGTTGCAGGGACGGAGATCTCTTGCACGCCAACACTGCCATCAACTGGTCGATACTGCAGCAGAAAGCTGTCAACATCTGAGTTCAAGTTCTCTTCCCAAAAGATCTTGTATCCTGTACTGGAGGTGCGCACATAGTCAAGAAATCCAGGAGGACTTGGCCCTAATGAGAGCAAATAAAAGCCTATAGTGTCCTATGCCTTTCATTTAAATATTACTATCATCATTGTATGCTTTTACAATTAATATAAATTACATGCAAGATTGCCAAAAATTGCTAAAGTAGTTTCATTTTATTTTAATTATTTTAGCCTTGTTCATATACAACATACAATAAAATCTATGAAAAGGTAGTACTCATGTTTCCCTCAAGAGCCAGCGGGATTACCAAAAAGTAAAAATGAATTACTATCAAAGTGGCACTCTAAGCAATGGAGGAAACGTGGACTAGCAAGATAATAATCAAAATGTAGAAATATCAACATTTATAAAAATAATACAAGATACCATTTACATCTCAAAATGAGAAGTAGTTTATTATTCACAATTAGTACAGATTTATTTTTATTAGATGTTGCAGGACAAATGTTTAACCCTATAGCAAGGCCCTGCAAAGGTTGGGCCTGATCTTGTATGCTTAAAACAAAGCATTTAGGTGGAAAATTTTATACAGCCCGTCCACAATGCAAGCTGAGGTATCTAGGACTGGCAGAAGTGGACAGCATCAGACTCGAACTCCCAACCACAGAGGTTGAAAATCTGAGCAGACAATGCTGCGCCAACTACAACCCATTAAGCCGAGCGAAATCCACTCCTTTCAATACGGCCAGCAGTATAGTAGTAGTAACAATATTATTTCTACCCTGGAATTGAGGCCATTCCCATGGTGATCGTTGACAAAGATGGATTTACACCTGTGTATTTATGATACTAAAAGTTGTCAAACTTACTGTAGACATGATGACCACCAAAACTAATTCCTACAAGAACAACACAGCCTCCTAAAGTGGCAAAAACATCAACATTTATAAAAATAATAAAAGATACCTAAAGGCCAACTCAGACAGCGTCGGCCGACGCAGCCCGACGCGATTTGTTGTCGCGTCGGGGCTGTGTGAGTTCAACGCAGACGCGATGGTGTGCGTCGAGGGCTGTCGCTTAGTAGAATATTAAACGTGTTTAATATTTCCAAGATATTTCTCACGACGGCGTAAGACTGTCCCCGACGATAAATGGGGTCGGGCTGCGTCGTACGACGCTGTCTGAGTTGGCCTTTATAATGAGAAGTAGTTTATTATTCACAATTAGTACAGATTTATTTTTATTAGATGTTGCAGGCCAAATGTTTAACCCTATAGCAAGGCCCTGCAAAGGTTGGGCCTGATCTTGTATACCTGAAACCATACTTTACAGCCCATCCACAATGCAAGCTGAGGTATATAATTCTGGCCCGAAGTGGACAGTGCGAGGCTCGAACTACCAACTACGAGGTTGAAAAGCTTGAGCAGCAACCGCTGTGTCAACTGCCTCTCTTGTATTTTCATTATCATTATTATTCTCATAAGCATTACAGGTATTATTTTTCAAGGGTTAAGCTTGACCACTGCACATAGTTTGTTAAGGTAGTAAAAAATGTACATGGCAATTTATTGTTGATGGTCACAATAACCATAGTGGCCACAATTACAGTTGTAGTGATAATGAAGGTGATGATGAAGATGACAGTGGTGGTGGTAAAAAGTGACAGAGGTGGTAAAAGTGATGGCCTGGGCTGAAATAGTGATGGTGTTGTTGATGGTGGTGATTTTGATTACCATCATCAATGCATTATCATCATAGGTTTAAAAGAAAAGCACTCACTATCTGCAGGTGATGGGATTGTAACTTGCACACCAACTCCTGGACTTGGTACTTTATTTTTAACTGAGTACACATTAAAAGTGTAATCCTGGGACTCCTTCAAGTCGCTAATAGTGGCACTAGTTTCATCCTCATCAAAATAAACTGTCACAGGATCTTCACTTCCATCTGTTGGATAATATGCAACCGCATAGCCGTCTACCTCCCCATCAGGACCAGACCAAGTGAGATCTACTGTTGTACCAAAGCTCTGTACATTAACTGCTGTCGGTGGATCAGGTCTCTGTCCAGAGTCCAATGCAATGGTAGCGGCAACACTGCTCACACCATTCTTAAGAGAGTAAAACTGGACAGCATATCTGACATTTTGTGTGAGATTTTTCATATCATATGATGTCTGATTCTTTTCTATTTCGAACTCTTGAAAGTCTTCCAAGTCATCAGCCGGACCGTAACGTAATAAGAGGTGATCATAAGGACCAACTGGAGCATCCCAAACCAAATTATATAAATTAGCACTCTTTGGTTTAAGGTAAACGTTAGTGGGAGGATTTGGACCTGAAAAGTAAAAGTAAAGTGGTCAACAACAAGATTATGCATAATATGAACAAGGCAGAAAAATCATATTTGCCATATGTAAACAGAGGTCCCAAGAAAGTCCCTTCATGGAGGTCTGATTAAATGCTCTTTCTCAACACATATTTATTTGATATGGCCATTGAAAGCTGACTATCTTGAATCTGGGGAAGGTGGACAGGATGCTGTCTCAATGTTCAGGAGACTATTGACCAGGACCCTTGTATACACATTGGCTGTATTCGACTGGTCGTTCTTCGCTAAACCACGGCCTCCTTCGCAGTGGTAAAATCCTACTTAATGAAGACGACCAGTCGAATAGAAACTGGTGCAGTAACTAGACGAAACAAAATAGCTGCATAGTTATCGCAATACATGCTGCATAATCAAGGTTGCTTTGGTTTATGCCAGTATGGGGTTTTCATAAAAAATGTTTTCATCCAGTTTTTGAATTCTGTTAGCCTACAAAATTTTGGCTTCATGTGGGTAAATGTTATAATTTTTATTTTCCGAAATTTTAATCTAAATTGTATTAAAGCAAATTTTATCCGCGTTGTTTGTTTTGGTCACATGGATAACTTAACGCTGATTAATATACTTAAAAGGCTTTGAAAGTGGTCCTGAGGGCGAAGCCCCAGAAATTTTGACAAATTAGGGGTTTCAAAGGCTTATTTAATCGATTTTATAGTCTACTAATACAGTATGTAGAAAATACATATAATTTTTTTTTTCTCCCCAACGAATTGTGCTTTTTCTCCCGACGGGATGGGGGGGGGGCTTTCCCCGACGGGCCCCGCTGACGCAACCCCTGAGCAGATGTAAACTTACCCTTTACAAGAGTTATTTGCGCCTGTGCATCATTACTCGCTCCATCATCATTTAAAGCAGAGAAAGCGATGGTGTATGGCACAAGAGGTACCAGATTATTTATTGTGTAACTTTCAGCATCACCACTTATCAAGTAGTTTTTCTCTGTCCCTGCTTCATCTGTTAAGGTTAGAATATAGTTGGTCACCAGAGGATCATCAGCTTGGGGAGCAGACCACTTCAACTGTAGAATATTCTCACTTAGTTGGGTAAGAATCACATTGGTCGGTGTTTCTGGTGCTGAAAGATTTTTTTTTAAATAGAGTATTAAAGCCTGGAAATTAAAAGTACATTATCATCACCTGTACGAGTATGACCTTCTACTGTAAACTCAAAAACCAGTGGTGGTGCCAGAGGGGGGCTGGGGGATATAGCCCCCACCCCTGTCGGGAAGCAAAGTCTCCCTGTCGGGAAGCAAAATCCCCCTTTCGGGGAAGACGAGTAAATTTTGTCGGGGAATAAACAAATAAAACAAAATATTTACATGTAAATGTTCGTTTAGCCACCATTTTGTTTTCATTAAACTATTTGTGTTAACTACAACAATAATTATGATGATGATGATGATGATGATGATAACAATAATTCAATGACAATAATTAAAAATAATTTGAGTTTGGATAGCCTCATGATGCTTGGAATACAAAATGTAGAATTTCACTTCCTGGACCCCCACCGGTGGGCTGGCCCCCTTCCCCCTCCCCAATGAGACTCGAATCGCTACACCAGCGTTCCCTGCCCCGTCGGGGCCTTCAATATCCCCTCCGTCGGGCAGGTCCTGGCGCCTTCATCACTGCTCAGAACAAGTTAATAATATTCTAAACAACAATGTGTCTGACTTAAAATGAGACTTGAGAAATGAGAGGTATTGTTTGTAGGCATACTAGGCCTAGGTAGGCCACTGGGTCTAGCCTACTAAACAACAGACAAGGCGGCGAGCAATACCTCTCTTCACCGGCATGCTGATGCTGCTGCACCCACCACCGGTCGTCTGCCATGACATGGAAGAAGGCTATAGCAGGCTTGGACAAATTGACGTTGTCTCATTATGGTTCTTACGCCTCTATTTAAACTATGACATAATATAATTAAGAAAATGTGTGACATCCTTAAGTATAGCATCGGATTAATTAAAAATAAAGAAGTCGTCCTTCCACATAAAGTGACACTACCGCGCATCGACCGCATGTTGTTATACTCTTTGATGTTGTTGTTTTGTTTTTCATTCTGGACAGCGCCAACAACGATTGAAAATTGAAGAGTATGGGACGTCAATTAACCCAAATTTGGCATGGCGCGCACTAAGCGCCATAAAATGATATATATTTCACAGAATTCACTGTAACTCTTGAGCAGTGTACCCATGATACACAAACTTTTGCTACGAAAATCTATAATTATAATTTAAGGGTCAATATGTACAGAATACGGAGCAGATGCTTCCGTACGTAAATTTACAGATCGTCTACTAAATTGGAAGCCAGTATAGCGTCGATCTGGGCTTGAAAGTGTGGTGGGGGACGTATGGGGAAAAAAAAGTATTGGGTCGTACGACGGGTCCAGGGAAAAGCCCGGTGAGAGTCCTGTTCTTATAAAAGTCGTATGTAATTGATTTATGAAAAACAATGTACAATTAACATTATTTCGCCACTACTCATCAAAAAAGTGTTTCAATTTACCGAACCCCCGTCCGTGAAAATAAAATTAGTAGTTTTGGCCAATTAGCGCACTAACAGCCACGACAAATTTCAGGGAAAAAAAAATTAAAGTTTTTCTTTAGACGTCAGCCGCTGCCTTGAAATATTAAAAAGTAAAATAACGTAGCCTAATATTTCTTCCTAATTATATAAATTTAAAGCATTTAACCGTCCCCTATTACTTCACACTGTGTACATTCACCATTCAAAGTTTATTTTTATTTTATACGCCATCTGGAAGTTCTTGGAAAAAACTATTAGCTAAAACAAAATTTTTATTTTGTTTTCGCCCGTAAGGGTCCGGAGCAGATGCATTTCTCTAAATGTACAGATCGAGTTTAAACTGGTAGCTAATATGGCGTCGATCCGTGCTTGAAAGTGGGGTGAGGGAGAACGAATAAATAAATAAATAAATAAAAATCTAATACAGTAGGCCTATTTCTCTTTAAGGAATTTGTCGAGCTACCGTTCATATCGCCTCTTACTTTTAGCATCCCCACAAGAATAAAAACCATAGGCCTACCTTGGGCATCAATGGATCCCATTTGTAGCAGGATGAGTAGAAGTCCAAGAGAAACTAAAACAAAAAAAAAATGTACTCATATTTTATGGGGAACAAAACTTGCAGCCGCGTTAGTAATTCAATCAAAAACAACAGAACTTATCTTTAATGCATTCCTTAGCATAAAGGTTATAAATTGTCCATAGAATCAAACTATCGAATAAGTCAACTAAAGTTAACATTTGGTTTCAATGCGTTAGTAATTCAATAAAAAATAACAGAACTTAGTTAATAAGGTTATGTTTTGTCCATAGAATTAAACTATAGAATAAGTCTATTTAGTTGACAATTCTCACTATTTGGAACAACTCTGAGAGCGTTCTCGTTCATCAGTAATGGATATTACACATCTTGTCATTATGGAAAAGGGTCTCCTTATTATTAGAGGTGTCCCCTTAATAGATTTTACTAAAAGACATAATCTGAGTGTGTATCATAATGATGATTTGTTGTTATTTGTATATTTATCGCACAGAAGCAAAACTAATTTTCTAAATTTCTAAATGATGTACTCAAGTATAAAACCCAGATTCTAGTTTTTAGAGCACTGCTCACCATTGTTTGGCCCACTGTATTGGCAGTACTATAAATATAGATGAAATGATAAAGTAAAACGAAACTATAAAAAGTAGGCATACTTACTCATTTTCTTATAAATGTACGTGTTTTTTTTTTTTAATCAAGTCCTAGGCACTGTCACCGAAATACCACTACTAGTCTATAGCCTTTACGATGTGAATTCTGTACTTCTGTTTAGGTCCATTCCATAGGCTTGCGTTTACGTATTTAATCAACTATAGGCAGTGTATGCTGAAGATGAAAGGAGCGGCGTTACGAGGGGGTCCTCAAGTGTGGTGGCAGTTGGTAACACCAATGTCAAACTACTTATCTATGAAAACTGGACTTGAAGTGTTCGGTAATATTAACTAAACACATAGTAAATCACGTGACCAAACATTAAACGCACAAAACTAAATTTCCCTATTCACATTATTTTTTTGTTTGGCAAATCAAAGGGGGTAAACAATAATTAATAACAATAATTATTTTATTTTATTTTATTAACACTGAAATCAAACAGAAGAAATTCCAGTGAGAGAACGCATCAACAAGTCCAAGCACAATTAAACCGACACATTGTCATAATTCACATGACTATTAATAAAAGCATTGTAATGGATACGTCATTCTATACATATATATATTCATTATATAAAGGTCGAAAAGGGAGCCCAAAAGTGGGGCCGATCATGTCCCCGCGAAGTTTCATAGACACCCGAAAATCGAGGCGTTTGGGCGATCAATTTTTTCTTTTCTTTGTTTTTTAACCTTCCAAGAGTGTGGGGGGGGGGGGGGGTAGGGGGTGTCTCATCTGTCTGTAAATCTAGATATTTTCACCTTAGACTATTCATCCATACATTTCACGTTCCTCTGCTGAATCACTCGTCCGTGGTTTTACCTCAAAATTGATTTCTATGCCTCTCTATTGTATGGAGCTTCTGCTATCCAATTGAGACCCCTGCAAAAGCTTCAGAACTCAGAGGCACGTGTTGTCCGTCTTAGTAAACTTTCGAGATCATATTTCACATATCATTGGCTACCGATATTAATAAACGTTTAAATTTCAAAATTATTCATCTCACTCATGAATACACGCTGAATATTATCATTCTTCATCTATCTCGCCCTTTTTATATATTATTTATACTTTGTTGGTGAAATCCAGAGAAAATCTGGGTAGGGGCCATGTGACGTGCGTAGCACCGAGTGGATCTGACGAGGGAGAGGAGGAGTTGATGGTGCTCGGAGATTTTGTTTAGAACTGCTTGACAAGACACTGGTAATTTTTGATTTTTTTTTTGTTTTGTTTTGTTTTGTTTTGTTTGTTTGTTTGTTTTTTTTTTTGGAGAGAGCAGGGATGCTAGCTCCCCCAAGGCCCCTTGATGATTGACGAAAGCTTTTTATTATTTTAAATTTAAATACAGTAACTGGCTGCTCTCTATGTGACGTAGATTGAAATGAATCAATAGGATTAGTAGCACTTGTTGATTCAAGAAAAACGATTTAAATTCTTTATCGGGTAACATTTGTCTTTTATTACCTATTCAAGGGGTATTACGTCATATTGAACAAAAAATATAAAAGCTATGCGTAAAGCTTATTAATACAATTGAAATAACCACATTCATTGTTGGTTCCACGCGTGTGAGCGCGGTTTATGTGCTCCGTGCGATTTATCATGCACACATGCAGAGTGTAGCTACATCTGGTGTGGTGGGTATTTGTGGGCCACGTGGGTGGAGAAGTGCCAGTTATTACAACACGTCGCCGTACAGTCTGATCGTTTGTTTCTTACCTACGGGAGGCTCAGAGCTAAAGCTCATAAAATATGATATGGACATTCTGTGTTGAACAAAAAACTATATTAATATGTTTATTACTCAATTTGGTCGGTGTAAAAGACAAAAAATACATCTTAAATCTAACAGTTGTATGAGAGTAAAATGCAATAAAATAAGCGAACTGAATCGAAGGGAAAGACACTGCATCCATGGATTTAAAAATAAATAGGAATAAATGTGATGCAGAGCTAAGTTAAAAGGAGTTCAGTCATACAAAAAAAGAACATACTCGAATCATGAATCGCAAAGAGAGTATAGTGGAAAGGTTCATTATTCTTTGTTGCAATTTTTTTTTTTTGCTTAATCGTCGTTTTATCATAAATTAATAATTTAAAAAAATCAATAATTATATTAATGTCTTTTTTTTTCTGTTTCGATGTGAATTATTATTGTATTTTTAAATGTTGAGCTTATAGGATGACCATTGTTGTAATTTGGCTTTTCTATTTTTTTTTTTTTCGGAAAATGAGGGAAAATAAATATTTTAACCCTATGAGTAAACTTAATTTTAAGGGACAGGGAGACTTCTGTAATATCCAGTTCAATCTCTATTTATAAGACGACTATTTTTTCAACTTATCGCAACAAAAATAATACACTCATAATAATATTTCATTAAAATTTTTATTTTGTAGACTTTTGAATCATGAACTTGACATGACACCAGAAGACATTTTCTTCATCTAATGGATAAGGCCTATCGGTATTAATTTCTCGTTCTTTCCGGTTTAAGTTTATGTACATTTCGGAAACCAGTGAATCCTGCATTGGCCATACTGTTACTTCATATAAACAAGTCTTGTGAAATTTAGTGAAGACTTTTTTATGCCTTGTTTCACAGACTTATTTTTTTAAAGATTGTCGGCAGAGGGAGAATAAAAATTAAAATTAAATTTTGATTTCTTATTTAGAAAAAATATTTTGCCAAAATCATTTAGGTGGAAGAGAAAATAAAAATAAACTTTCATTAATGAATTAAACCAGGGAGATGTACATCTCCCTGATTAAACAGTGTAGTAATGAGATTGATAAATGCTTTAAATTTATTTTGAGGAAGAAATATAAATCTTTTTTTATTTTGGAGATTTCAGGAGAGGGTGTAATAAAAATAAATATAAAACTTTATTTTTCTAAATTTTAGGTTTCATTTTTTGAGGTGGAGTGTGCACAAACTGGCCAAAAATAAAATTTTCTTTTTATTCAAAATCAACATTTTTGATGGTCGGAGGGTTCATTAAACAAGGTATAAATAAAGTCTCAGCCTAGCCACTGTCTCTTATACACATCTAGATGTGTATAAGAGACAGGTTACCATATTAGTAGCCATGTGATTTAATTTTTGTTTCATTGTCCTTTGCAAAAAGTACTTTTATAGGACTGCAATCCTGTCTTGTACTCGGATTATCTATTTTCATGTACTGTAATAATTCAAATAGGCATGTTATCTTGTCCCACAAATAGAACGTTTAATATTGTAAAACAAGTATATTTAAATATTCTTAATAGCACCGAGTTATTAAGAAATGAATAAAAGTTCCATCGTGTTATAGTAAATTTATGATGATTTTGTACCATAAATATATTATATTTGCAATGAAAATTATTGTTCCTGTGCGTAGAATGTAATGATCATCCTACTGCCTTATGGAGAGCAGTGCATTTTGATGTCTGGTAGGACAAACCTCTTGACTGCCAGCATTCTAGGGAAACTGTAAGTATGATTTATTCCTAGTCACATATTTTTAGTCTGACTTCCTCAAGTAATGATAGGGGTAATTATTCTCACCCCAACCTCTGTTGCCTTTACTACAGTATTATACTATGCTATTTAAGTAATGCACTGTATGTTTCTAAATATTGATTCAAGTTAATATATTAGTAATTAAGTAACATCAACTGTCTGCTATCTTTGTGGTGCCAGGATTGAGAGCTACCGATTCAAGCGGCGATGATGACTTGAAGATGTTGAAGTAAATTGGTATTTTTCCAAGGTTTGGATTATCATCTTGCAGGTTCTTGACCCAGGTTAGCATGGCCTCTTGACCGTCAGCCTTGCTATTGGTGGAGCACATAGCAAATAGAGGGCCCTCCTGCGGGGCTTCTGGCGGCTCATCTAATAAAAAAAAGAATACAAAATATTTAAAGGCGAGTAATGATCAATATGTGAATGGTATGTGAACTTACAAAACAGCATAATACTACAACATATGGGCCTTGTAATGCCAAAACCAGCATTAGTGGGAAAAACCTGGAAATTTACTTTTTAATAATACATTCATATTCTTCACATTATAAGCTTTAAAATGATGGGTCATTTAGTAGAATCGATTTAATGTTGCCAAAGGTATGAGTAAAGGTTCTTTGTACTGTATAGTGCAATACTTCCACATTTTTATGCTATTTACTAAGTTTAACAATTAGCGACAGTTCACCGCTTTTGGGATGGCAAGACTCATATATACAGTAGCATTTATATTTTGATTTTATATTTCGATTCTTATTTAGAATGAAGTGCATTTATATAAAGATCTGCATTATGTTGGGTAGGTGTACCCTGAAACACATGCTGGTTTCAGATAATAACCTTCAAAATACTTTTGATACCTAAATCCATTATTGCCTGTTTCTATGCATTTCCCATTATTATTGAGGACATTGTTTCAAACATGTATGGAACACATATTCCAGCAAAGCTTTTTATTATTGCAAGTAGTACAGTACTAATACAGTAGTACTGTAATCAGCATTATCACTGCTAAACTATATTTTTTTCCAAATTATCAGCTTTAATTGATGGGTCACGATTGTTCATATAATGGTTTAAGAAAATAAATGTACCTTTGGGTTTTTCAACTTCGTGGGGGTATGGATTCTTGGTTACAGATGTTGCAGCTGGTACATCATCGATACTCAGAGGGTGTCCTCGTAAAATGAAGTACGATGTCTTCTTGTCACGCAGCCACAAGTTAAAGGGTCCTTCAACATAGACGGGTCGATACCTGGGGTAGTCATGTAACATATCTCGTTGCTCACTACTTTGTACTGTTGCAATAAACTCAGGGGAATCTTCAATGGCTTCAGAATCATTGTCATCTGTTCCATTCAACTTTAAAAAAGCAATAATTACGGCGTGATTAATGAAATGTCCTGTTTGGACCACAATGGAAACAAGTTTGCCTTTTCGGTACTTTATTGTATTCTTATCCATGAATATTATTTTTGGATTCAGAATATAGAAAAAAAAAACCTTCTCCAAAAAACACTTGCTCCCCTACTTCTTACCACCTTATTTTGCCAGCTAACGTCACCTTTCTTTATCATCTCACACTAACCCCCATCAGCCTCCACAACTGGAAGAGGCTGGCAACTATGCGTAAAAAATGGATTTAAAATTGGGTGGATCAGCTTAAGCTCTGTTCAGATTATCAAATTTTATTCGACCAAAACATGTGACATGCTTTAGTTATGGTCATGATGAAATCACATCATGATTATAAATAGGCACATCATGACTTTATATGTCCAACATATACAACAGTTTCTTCCGAAAAAAAAAGTACATGAAAATTGCTGACAACTGTCAAGAAAAGAAAACTGAAATGGTATGAACAAATAACCAGATCAAACATCCTATCACACATCCTTGCAAAAACCATCTTACAAGGCACAATCCAAGGAAGTCAGATGAAAAGATCCGAGAGTGGACAGGATTGCCATTTGCCTGGTCCCAGAGGGTAGCGCATGACTGTGACCAGTGGCAGGACATTGTAAAGTCATCATAATTAGTGGCTCAACAACCCCACCAGAGGTGATGGGATTGAATTAATGAATACTTACATATTGAACTTTGAACTCTGCTTCATACTCAGCTATCCTCTTTAAACCTAGTCTGGCTATTTCTACTGGATCTTCCGGAAGGATTTTAGGAAGTGGGAATGGATTGATGTTTTTGAACCTTGGGAACCAGTACATGATTCGGCGATACTTCCTGATGGCACCACCAGTCTTTCCAAACACTGAGATCAGTATGTCTTTTGTTGCTTGGTTTGGCATTACACCTATCACAAAAGAAATAAATCTGTAAACACACTTTAAAAAAAAAAATTGCAATGACTGGTGTAAGCCCACGTAATTATTCTATAAAATGATATTAATGGTAGGAGTGATGTTTGCCCTACCTGACGAAACTCAAATTGTGGTATTAATGGTGTTGTACCCAGAATGCAATACAATAGTTGGAACCGTCAATTTTTCCCTAAGGTTTTGTAATAATAGTGAGCTTAATGCTCTGTCCACACTATTAAATTGTGTGATGTGTCCATATATGGTGATGTCATATTAGACCCAAATATGGGCATATTGCATTAACCATACAGCTAGCTTACCATTATCTTCCATCTGTTGTAAAATACGAATTGCACAAACATTTGGTTCTGGGTAATGTGAATACAGTGCTTGTAAAGCATTCTGAGCTTTAAACTGTCCCTTAGGAAACACATCAAAGAGTTGGTTGTACGCTGTAATATCTTTCTCAACATTGTATGCTTTCATAACCTTGAGGGCAGTCTCTATAAACTGGATATGACCACGCATACGAATGTCCCGCCCTTTGAAAATTTCCACTGCTTCTGCAAAAGCTTCTTTATTTAGTGTTTCTTTTTCCATAGCTACTTTTGAAAAAATCTTCTTGGAGTGTGACACAGCATTTTCAATGTTCTTTTCGTGGTATTCATACTTTTGGCTCTTGCACATTATTGAACTTGAATGGATGCTTCTTGCAGCAACAGTCATAGATTCAATCTGGATAAAAAAAGACAGTGAAAATAGAATTAAACAGGAATATTCATCCTTCAATAGGCTTTAAAAAGGCAACATTCTGAGGTTTAAAGAACATCATTATTAAGCAAATCACAAGAATAACAGTTCTGTAAAATAGTTTAAAGGGTACTCTTCTGAGGTAAAGGGTACATAATGGATACACTTCTAAGGTTCAAGTGGTACCCTTCTGAAGCTTATGCAAGAGTACTCTAAGCTTTTCTTAAACAGTACTATTAAGGTTTAAAGAAATGGAAAAAATGGAAATGACTTGTATATAGCACCTTACAAAATAAAAAATCGTCTCAAGTAAGAAAACTAACCCATGAAGGGATGTTTTTTGTTTTTCTATTGACATTAAAAAACAAAATTGAATGCACCCACCTGCTTGCCAGATACTTGTATTTTTCTGCTGAGATTCAATTGTGAGATGAGCATAAGTCGATATGATGATGAGGGGCGCAGGAGCAAACCTCTCACTGCCATGGTGCCCAAGGCCTATTCAGAATAAAAATATAAAATGAAATGATATATATAGCCTATAGATTAGATAGGCCAGGGCCTAGAAATTACGTTCAGAAA